TCTTCCTTTCTGCAACCCCATTCTGCTGAGGTGTATGAGGGCAAGTGCTCTGGTGGATAACCCCATSATTAAGGAGGTACGATGCCAATGGCTTAGCAAAGTATTCCTTTGCATTATCADATCTAAGCACTTTGATCCTGACATCAAACTGGGTTAGGATCATTTGGTGTGAGTTTTGGGTCAGGACAGGCACCTCATCTCGTGAACGCATAAGATAAACCCAAGAAAACCGGGTGTGGTCATCAACAAATAACAAAAAATACCTGTACCCACCCATAGAAGGAATGTGATATGVCCCCCAAACATCAGTATGCACAATATCAAAAGAACTGATACTCCTTTTATTACTCAATGAATAAGAGTTTCTACAATGTTTAGCAAACTCACARCTTTCACAYTKCAACTRRGAYRACTCAACAGACTCAAACAAAGTAGGAAACAGACTCTTCAAGGACCGAAGAGATAAATGACCCAATCGGTTAGACTCAACCTGAGAAACAAGCAACTTCTTATCCACTAACTCTTCCCGACGCGAACTCTCCCCGAGCAGATAGATCACATTCCTCTTACGGCCAGTCCCAATCACATTCTTCGTCTCCAGGTCTTGAAAAACACATCAGTCAGGAAAGAAAGTTACTGAGCAGTTCAAATGTTTGGTAATACTACTAACGGAAAGGAGGTTAGTATCTAGTTTAGGAACATGCAAGATAGAGGAGAAGGATATAGTATCAGACAGTTTGATGTCACCCTTGCCAGAAATAGGGACAAGAGAGCCATCAGCTATAGATACTTTATACCTACCAGAAGATAAGTAATAAGTAGTAAACAAAGAGGGCAAACTAGTCATATGGTCGGATGCACCTGAATCTATTACCCAACAAGATTCAGTAGTACCTGGAGCGGAGGCATGGTAGGCTGAGGCTCGAGAAACTGAGTGTGCAAAGGCCGATGTGGCCGGGGCTGACGATGACTGCGGTATCTGAGCTGAACTGCCAACTTCCTTCTCCAATTGTAGTAGAGCAGCCCGAACTGCAACTAAGGTCTCTAATGGTGTGCCTCTTGTGCCAGATGAGGATGCTGAATCAGTAGTCATAGCCACATGA